AATATATATCAGTTGATTTGAATTTATCATAGAAATTAAACTTTATATTTTTATTTTCATTAACTTCAAAAGTTTGCTGATATTTCTGCATTAATAACTCTTAATAGTATATTTCGTAAAATTTGCTCTACAATTTTATTTTTTTTTTTTTTGTAATTGACTAAATTAATACCATTTAATATTATTTAAAGTTTAGTGAGCTTTTTATTACAAATTAATTTTTCAAGTCAGTGTAAGAATGACCACAATAATTTCTAAATTTTGTGTGAAAAGTAATAAAGTTGGTAACATCAATTAATTGACGCTTAATTTCCTCGCAACAAATCAGCTTATTTAATTTTCATCTCCTAAATTTCCGATTTTCCAATGTAATTCAGAATATATTTCATCAGATAATAAGTTGCAAAGATTCTAAAAAAAAAAAAATTGAAAGATTATGCAATTTTTTCTTCTTCTTTTTTTATTATTTATTTATTATTTCTTTTTTTACAGATTTGTCAATTATGTTAATGAAATATGTCAAACGAATTATAAATTCAAATCAATTGCATCAGCTGTTAGTGATGTAAGTATTTTATTTGATATGAAATTTTTGTCAGAATATATATATTATAATAATTCAATTTTCGACGCTAATTTTAATTTGAAAATTTTCAAAATTTATTTTAGGTTGGTATTCCACAGTGGGTGGTTGACATTCGACATGGTGCAACTCATTCGCATCTTCCATCGCTAGAAAATTTACGTCAAGCAGCGCAATACTGTCGCAATTGGCTTTGGGTAATTTTTTTTTAAGATGAATGATGATAAATTTTCTTTAGCATCATATTATTTAAGTGCTTCTGATAGGTAAGGTTTAAGATTGATTATGGAAATTACAATTTAATATTTCAGGAAGATATTTCAAGTAAATTTTATGAAATGTTTAGAAATTAATTAAAATATCTTAAGTAAATTTTATGAAGCTGTTTCAATTGCAATTTAATTTCTATCTGAAGAAGATTCAAGTAAATTTTATGGAGCTGTTTATAAATTAATTACGCTTCTTTCAAAATTATTTCTTTCACATTACAATAATAAATTATGTTGATAAATTTCATTCTTTTGTTTCTAGGAGCATCATTGGTCAAGACCAGTAGCTGAAGCAATTGGACTAAATTCAAATAATCAAAATGAAAATGAAACTGATTTACAACAAGAAGCTGTTGATTTAATTGATCGTTTCATGCTTTGTTCTTTTGAAAAAGTAGTTTAATTCATGATGTTTTAGTTTATCACTGATTCTAGAAATAAAAATCAAAAAAAAAAGAATGAATTTAAAAAGAAAAAAAAAGAACGAGATTGCCTAACTGTTACCGATTGCTTAACTGAATCAAAAAGTATGGTAACTAAACTAATAATTTTATTCTTCTTCCCTACTAATTCCTTATCAATTATTTCCAGAATAGCGACACTCATTATCATTATTATAACTCATCATTTATCACTGTTATCATTCAAATAATTCTTGTTTTTCAGATGAAATTATGTGCATATCGAAAAAATAATAAACCAGACAAAGAAATAAAATTGCAAAAGATATTGGCAAAAATAGAAACATTTATTATGATGCATCCTTGGTAAATTGCTTGTAAATTCTCGTTCATTTAATCAGTGATAATTTTAATCTGAATTACTATTTATGATCATACTTATTTCATTCTTCAATTTTTTGTATGAATTTAATCGTTTGTCAATTATTTCCCAACAATAGTTCTTTGTTAAGAAAAATTTGAACTCTAAATTATGTTTTGACCAATTAAATTTGTCAAAATTTATCATTTTTAAAAATTAATTTTGCAATTGATTTACAACCAAAAAAGTTAGTTAAGTTAAACTTGTAATTATTTTTATTGCTATATATATTTTTTTACTATTACTGTTATATAGAACTTTATGCAAATGAAAGATTGAATCTGAAAATGAATTTTTCCACATTTCAGGGAATTTCTGGGGGCATTTTTACTTGAAGGATATTTGATTTTAAATGAGAAACAAGTTAGATCAATTGATCATAATATATTTGCAAGTATGAGTTTGATTTATTAGTTGCAGTTATAATTATTTGTTATTTTACATTAAGGTTGCTTCATATGAAATGGCATATTGATATAGAAGTGAGTTATAATAAGGTTTTTCTTTTTTTTCTTTCTAGATTTTTAGATTTTGATAAACAATTATTTTTACCGCTGAAGAATTTTCAATTTATGCCTTTTGCAGTTTCGTTCAAAAAAAAAGCTGAAATAATTCTTTTCTTTTTAATTGCAGAAAATGAAGCCATATGGATTGTTCCGGAAGATTTGCAACTGTTCTGGAAACCAATCTTTCATTTTCTGAATGAAGCCAAAATGTTACCTGAATTACTCTTCCAGGTAATTTTTATCTCTGATCAAAATGATAATTATATACAAAAAAAACGAAAGAAAAAACATTTATAGTGAGTGATGAAATTATGCATAATTTGTTACTTACCAATAGATAATTTCCAAATATTCGTTACCGGATATCAGTTATCAATAATGATATATCAAAATTAACATTTTATTAAAAATAATTTGTCCTAAAGGAATTAAATCAATCATCATTTTAGCTTCTTGAAATTGCATCAAATGATGAAATACAACCAATACGAAAACGACAATTAATTGCATGGAGTGATCGAATGTTAACTGCTTATGTGGAATGTTAGCATTTTTTTGTTCAAAATTATTTATTAATAATTTTTATACTTTATAAATTAATGTTATCACTTGAATCATTTACTTAATTCTTTCCCTTTTCTATCTTTTCAATTAAATGATAGATTTTCGTTTTGAAATTTGTAAAATATTTTCATGTATTATTAATCTTAGCGAATTTTTTTTTTTTTTTGTTTTTAAATGTAATTTCTTTTAGCAAATGTTTTAAGTGAATCTGAATGGGAAAGAATTTTGAAAGCAATAATGTTGGCACCAAAAGAATTACGAGAAGCATATTTTGATAAGTAAAAAAAAATTTTTTTTTTTTATAATTGTTTTTTTATAGGGTTTTTTTAAGATTATCTGCTAGAAAAAAAAATGTACTAAAGTTGCTATTTTTTTTTCTTTCGGAAAATATCATAGCAATTTCTTATTCCTAATTTATTAATTTTTTTTTTGTTTTTATTTTATTACTTAAAAATGTCTCCAATTTGTCCAATTAAAATTTCCAGAATTCTGAGCAAAATCAAAAAAATAACAGAAAAAGAACAGAATGCTTTGAAGCAACTCGTTGTACTGTCTTCTAAAAAGACAACTGTCACAGGAACAGCATCATTTCCGGATCCCACCAATATTGATGCATCATCATTTCCGGTTTCCACCAATATTGATGCATCATTTAAAACTGTCGATGACTTGCGAAATTTAATGGCAAAAAAAAAAAGTTAGATAATTATAACTCTGTTATTTTCATTCTTTCTCATTTTCACTTACCATTTTTGCACACCTAAATGTTTTCTCAATTATTAAAAGTTCTGATTGAACGAAATGATTTAAAATTAAGCATTATTTGAAGAATTTTCGTTGCAATTAATATATAGCCATGAAATTTTATAGGAGATAATTTATTTAATTTTGCATTTCAATGCTATCTTAATTATAAAAGTTGGCTGTTAAATCATTATCTTAATCTTAATTATAAATATATTTTACTTGTTTCTATTAATTTTTACAGTCATATTAAAAATTATCAGCATTTTGTCCTCGTCATCAAGTCTTTTACATATGCATGAGATTTCTTTTTTTTTTTCAAACTTTTAACAGTTGTGAAAATTTATCTTAATAAAATTTCAAATCTCAAAATGCAATTCTTTTTTATCTTTCTCGCTATAAAATTATAAAGACTAAACTTAAATTATAAAAGTATGGTAGTAATTGGTTTTTTTTTTTTTTTGATAATATGAATTACATGTTTTTCATTTTTTTTTAGTTTTTTTGACACAATGCATATAATTTATACTTTCTGCAATTAATAACAAAGTGAAATAAAAAAAAAGCATGCGATTTCTGTTATTTATAAACTAGAATATACAAAAACAAATAATGAATAAAACAATAAATTTGAAGGTAATAATAGTAAAAGTTAGCTGATGAATCATTATATAGTTTTGTCTTTTTTTATAGCGAATGTTATATTCTAATTATTTTGTTATTTTTTAATTATTCTCGAAAACTGATTGTTCTATAATTAACATTTCTTTTTCCTAGATCTATAATATAATAAATGATAAGTAAGCTATTTATTTGGTAGCAGAAAAACTACTTTATTTCTAAAAAAAAAAAAAAAAGAGTTGATAAATATTAAATTGTGGAAACTTAAAAATTTAACTTCAATAATACATTTAATGCTCAGAATGTTAAGCATTTAGTCAATTGCAAAAATCATAATAATTTTTTAATATTACAGATGAAAAGAAACCAGAAATAACAGATTCAAATAGTTCAGCCAATAATCGTTGGTCAGCCTGTAATTCATTAGAATGGAAAGGTATTCCACTTGGGTTAACACCTGAACAAAGTACAGAATCATTATACCTGGTTGTTGAACCTGAAGTAGTACATTAGGAAAATAGTTTGAAAATGTTACTGCATTGCCTAAGATTGACAAATTTAATCTATGGAATGATACTATTCATATATGTCTCTATATTTGCTTGTTTGTTTGTTTTTTTTTTTTTTTTTTTTTTTTATTGTTATCAATGAGATAGTATTAAGAAATGTGAAATTAAAAGGAAAAAAAAAAAGGAAACAGTGTCTTTGGTTTACTTTTAATCTGTTAAATTTTTCAGCATAATATTATATTATTGTTTATTCTATGATAAAAATTATCGAATTATTGAGGAAAAGAAACATGATGACAGAATATGAAGTATGAAATGTTGAAATATCACAAAAGACTTATAAATATTGGAATTTCTAAATTAAAAACTGGAAACCCTGCAATTATAATTGAGCAGAATTCATATTATTGTCAGTCTTCATTTGATTTATATCATCCTGAAAGAATTTGTGAATATTATTTTTATATTTTTATTCTGAAATAATTTTATATATATTTTCACTCTGAAATAATTTTAAATATTCTTTTTTGTATTTTCATTTTGGAAGTAATTTTAAATTGTTAAAATATTTTCAGCTTTTTTCTTTTGTATTTTCATTTTTATTTTTTGACATTAATAATTTCTTTTAACAATTATTGGTAGTGCACCTTTTGTTGAATATACTCACATAATTTTATCCTAATGTTTGTTTTTCACTGTATTTTTAAATTAAAAAAAAATGAAAAATAAAAAAATAATGAAAAGAAAACAAAAGCTTTAAAAATTTTAACATTGACTTTAAGCAAAAGAAAAATTTTTTGAACGATAAAATTTAAAAAATAAAAAATAAAAGGAAAAAAATGTTTGGAAAAAGCTGCAAAATTAAATATTTAATTGAAATGCTTCTTTTCTTTTTAAAATTTTTCTATTTTACTATTATTTGCATGTGGAAAAGCAAGAAAAAAAAAACAATAACAAAAAATAAAGTAAATAAATAAAAGAACAAACCGAAATATTTTTTGTAATTTGTTTAATCAATTTTGTGCGTAATTTTTGTTTTCGAAATCGTTGCACTTCTTCAATTACTTCAACAAGATTACTTCCACTGAGTTTTATCATTCGACGATCCAAACTTCTAAAAAAAATTTCCCATGAAAAATATGAAAAATTACTTCTGAAATCAATTAATAAAATTTTCGGATAATATACATTTGCAGTAATATCATTTCATTCCAATTTCATTGCCAGTAAATTTCATAAATGAATATTTCTTCCGAAAAAAATAAAATGAAAAAGAAAAGTTAAAAAAAGAAATTCAAAAAAAAAAGGAAAGGAAAGAAGGAAAAACTGATTACTTATATTCATCAAGTGCTAATAAGGCATCCGGTCCGTTTAATTCATCCGGACGATCGGATAATTCAGAAAGTGTCATTGATTTCAATACTCGTAAATTGAAAACAATACCCAAAAATAAAAGTTCCAGCAGCAATGATGTTATTAAATCTTTTTTCTGAAAGAAGTAAGAAATAATTAATATTAATTTAAAAAATTTATTAATTGGAAAAAATTTTTTTCAATCATTTATGCATCAAAAAAAAAAAAAATTATTAGTGATTATTTGAAACTTAAATTCTTTTTTTTTTTCACTTAAATTCTTTTCCTACTCTTACTTTCTTGTTTTTTTTTTCTTGTTCTATGCTAATATTTGTACAAATTTTACTAATTTTAAAAGTTCAATGTAATGGAAAGGTTATTTTTTTTTTTTTTTTGAAAAATGAATGATATGTAAAGAATTTTATAATATAAACTTACTGAATTTAATTCGCTACATAAATAACCTTCACATACTCGTTTTAATACAGGTAAATTATTTAATTCAGCATCAATTAAAAAGTCAGCAAAATTTTCCACAAAACCCATTTCGGGTAAAGCAACTCTTGTAAAAAACATATTAGCAAGCATCTGAAATAGAAATTTTAGGAAAAAAGTAGCAATAATAATCACAATTAATAATTATAGCGATAACGATAATAAAGATCGTTATAATAGTAATAATTAAAAATAGTAAAAGCGATGATAAGTAGCAATAATAACAACAATAATAACAGTAATAGTAATAATTAATAATAATAACAATGATAATAATAACGATAATAGCAATAATGAAATTTACCTGTTCTTAAAATTTTTATTGTAAAAAAAATCATATCTCAAATATTTGACATATAATCTTATTATTTATTAAAAAAATAATATTAATCAAATCATACCCATCAAAATTTATCACAAAAAAATTTTTTTTTCCGTCTTTATTTCTTTTCATTTTTTATCATTTTAATTTATAAAATAATTTTAATTCAAATTATTTAAATGAAACCTCATGAAGGGCATCTTTATTTTGCTCATTGCATTCAAATGTATTTTCATCGTCCAAACCCTCTAATCCATCTTCTTGTTCCATTTCAAAATTTTCCTCTTCCATTATTTTAGCTTTCTTTTGACAACCATCACAACATGCCATTAATAATTTTTTAAATAAAATTGTTTTGTAACTGAAAAAAAAAGTTTTTTTTTTTTTTTGCATATTTATTAGAAAAGAAAAATAATTTCTTTTTAATATAAAAAAAAAATATATATAGAATATAAATAGCAAGAATTCATGTTATATTTTATCAAATATATATGATAAATAATTAAGCTTTAATTCAAAAAATTTTTGTTGTATTTAAAATGAAAAAAAAAATATAATAATTGTGCTTACAATTAAAGAAAAAAGAAATTTAACTTAATAATCGAAAATTTTATTTATAATATTAAGAATAGAAAAGACAAAATTTTTCACACGAATTTTTCTAATTTTAAATTTAAATTTAAATTTTTTAAACTTATCGTTTTTATCTTTTTTCAGAACTTTAATAAAGTGTAACAAATAAATCACATTAACAAGTTATTAGCATTTTTTTTTTTTTTTTTGAAACTAAAATTAATCATACAGTAGAAAAGAGAAAATTTTAGTATTATTGAAACAATATTATCAACTAACCCAGCTTTTTGCAATCCTTCATAACTTTTAAAATCACTTTCTGAATGTGATTTGTTATAATATTCATTTTCTTCATTGATTATACGATTAAAAATTTCTTCAACATCTTCCTGCTGCTTTAGTGATAATCTTCGACGAAGATTATCATCCATATTAGTCAATAATTTATTTCTGAAATAAATAACGGTAATTGTAATAACAGTAATAATAATAATAATACATAAACAGATAAATAATGATAGTAAAAATAATATCAATAATAAAGGTGATAATAATAAATAGTAATAATGAAAATAATAATAGCAACATAGTAGCTAGCAATAATAAAGATGATAATAATAATAAATGATAGTAATGACAAAAATGACAATAGCAATAGTAGCATAATAACAATAGTAATAATAATAATAATAGCAACAGTAATGATAAAGACAATAATGATAATGATAATAATAATAGTAATAATAACAATAATAATAATAGTGATAATAATAGTATATTAAAGTTCAATATTATTTAGCATAGCAAAAGAAGAGAAAGGAAGAAATTGAAATGATTTAAATTCATAAACAATTAATGAATGTACTACTCTTATAATGTATAGTTTCCTATAATTTTTTCTCCTTGCTATTTATTTATTTATATAAATATATTTCGTCTTTATGTTATTTACAAATTTGCTTTGTTTTTTTTTTTTGTGTGATAAATAAAATTATTTTTTCTTTTTGTTATGTATTATCATAATTTTGCCTTTCAAATTTATCAAATTTTAAATATGAATCAAAATATTATTTAAAAAAAAAATCAAAAAAATATATATATGAGATAAAAATTGATGAAATAAGACAAACTTTCGTGAACGTCTATTAAATACTTTTGAAGATGCTCGTGCTCGATAGTTAGCTGTTAGAAATGACGTAATTGGCGTTGGCGTAAGTGTATTAAGATAGGTACTTGGTTCAAATACTTGCACGGGAAAATTTAGCATAATTGATAAGCGCACTATTTGACCTACATTTTCCTAGAACAAAAAATTTGTTCGAAATTTATTAAATTATTTAATAATAAAGAGCAAATTTTTTTTTTTAAAAGGAATAATTTCAAATACTTTGTTGATTTGATTGCATAAAATTCAATTTTTGACAAATTTTCTAACATTTTGTCTATTCGATGAATTAAAAATTATGTTATCACTTTTTTGCCTTATCACTTATCACCAGGTGATAAGCAATTTAAAAAAAACAATGGATTGAACAATTAATTATGGAATTCAAAAGTTAATAATTTAAAGCATATACTAGCAATTTCTCCCTCTAATTTATTAATTTATTCGAAATTTTTAAAATGGTAATTAATAAAACGTAAAAAAAAAATTTGCTAACTTTTATATAATTCGAAAAATCAAAACGTTGAATCGTTGTAAGTTCAGTTTCTTTACCACGAATAGCGCTTAATCGTTTTGCTAAAACGTTAATATTTTTTTTTTAGTTTTAATAATGTTTTGAAACTCTTAAAATTTTGAAAATAATTTTTGTCAGAATAAAATATTAAATTTTGCATGAAAATTTAATTTCAATATTGTGAATAATATTATTTATAACTAAAGGTAAATTAATTATTTTTGCTTCTAAAATGTAGAATAAGAAAACAAACAGCTAGGAGCTTACTGTATAATTATTTTCCTTTTCTGTATTATTATCATATCATTTATCAAATTAGATTTTATAAAATTACAACGGAAAAAAGGGGAGACAGATTATTATGATAGTTACAATTTAGAAATTATCAAAATCATCAGTTATTCATAATTATAATAACAAATGAATATTATCATTAAAAAAATTGCAAATAAAGGAGCAATAATGATTGGTAAAATATTTCCAAGCAATTTATTCTTCTTTTTTTCGACAAATTTTTCAAAAAATAAAATTTTTGGATTAAGAATTTTTCAAAATTTGTTTTTTTCTTTAAATCAATTCGAAAATTTACATTTTTCTTTTTTGAAAATTTGCATTTTTTTCGTAAAAATCCTCAAAACGTTACCATTTATTCATCATCATTTAATTATATAAATATCATTTAAGTCAAAAAATGAAAAAATATTTTTTTCGTTTTTTTTTTTTTTAACTTAATATATTTATTTACAAGAATAACTAATAACAACATTCAGTGACAACATGGCTATGCTTATTTAATTATTTAAATCTAATTGTCATTGAAGTTAGAAAATGAGAAAGTTAACATTAGCAATGTTTTCCTTTGCTTCTTAATTAATATAATTTATTCACGAAAAATTCAATAAATAGTAATTAAGTTCAAGAAAAATATAGCCATTAGCTCATTTAATTATTAAAATCTATTTATTATTTAAATTAAAAAAAAACAATAAAAGATTAGCCCTTTTTTTTAAATTAATATAATTGATTTCAATAACTAATAATTTACTTTCAGCGACGACAACATAGCCATTAGTGCCATCGCCATCATCGTTATCATCATTACCATCAATGCTACATTTCTTATTTTGTAAAAGTTTGGTGATAGTTTGTAGATTATCAATAATTGGTGCTGGTCCATCATTAAAATACAATGACAATGCAATATAATTTGGTTCACATTCCACTTCATCTTGACTTCCTTTTGCTAATTCCATTTCAACCTTTAATTAATATCTAATTACACATAATTTAGCATATTAACAGATAAACATATTTGTTGTAATATTTTAATTTTAATTATTAAAATTCTATTAATTTGATTGATATATGATACTTTAATTATGATTGTGATTAATACAAAAATAAAACATTTATGATTTAATTGAAATTACAGTTATGATTATTCCATTTAATTAATTTCTCATTGTTATATTTGAATACTATACATTATGATCATTATATTTGGTTAATTTGATTAATGCATATGATAGTTGAATTATATTAGAGAAAAATTTTTAAAAATTTTAAATGACAAAATTTAAGTGCAGCATATGTAGTTTGTTATAAAATTTGAACAATAGATAAAATTTATTGTATTAATTCAATTAAAAATATAGTTAGGATTATAATTATTGCATTTTTAGCTAAGCTATTACAATAAATGTAAATTATTATTGCATATTTTAATTAAATTAATTTTCACTCTGACAATATTGTATTTGATTACTAGATTATGAACATTATATTTGATTAATACATATGGTATTTTAATCATATTATAAAAAATTTTTAAATGATAAAATTTAAATGCATCATATATATTTTATTGTAAAATTTAAACAACAAATAACACTCGCTGTAGTGATTTAATTAAAATTATATTTATTATTCTATTTGATTAATTCCTATAATATTCAATTACATCATAATATATTATAAAGTTTGATTTTTGCATACATGTTTTATTATCAAATTTAAAATCTATGAAAATCATTTATAGCATTTATGAAAAATAATATTTCAAAAAATTTTTTATAATATGTAATTATATAAATTTTAATTAACTATATATTATATGTGTATTATTAAACAATTTAAATATAACATGTATGAAATTTTTTCTAACAATTTATTTTATTATCTTAATTACTCAAAATTTTAAATGATAAAAATGGCATTAATTAATCAAATGCCTTAATAAATAAGTTTAATCAATAAAAAATAAACAAACTTTATCATTGAGAAATGTTGTGCCACGCATTTGCAATGACCATTGAAATGCCACCTGTCCATGAACAGTTGCAAATTTTGGTGACACATGCAAAATGACTGATTCATTATCATTAAGTTGGCGCATTAAAACTTTTGTAGCCCAAATATATTTGAAGCTAACATATTCAATGTCACAGACTGGAAATGGTTTTAAATTTTCTTCGTCGAATGATAAATGTTTTGTTGACATCAACAAAATTATGTACCGTACACGTACGATTTAGTAAATAAAATCAATTCAAAATGTTTTTTTTTATTTGTTTAGCAACGTTTAATTGATTGATTTTGATTTATTGATCGATTGATTCATTGACTGATTGGTTGATTGACTGACTGGTTGATTGATCAATTGATTGATCGATTGATTGATTAATTGTTTGATCAAAAGTGATAGGCTAAAATTTATCATTCTTTTTAATGTATGCAATAAATTTCGTTTATTATTATTATTATTATTATTATTATTATTATTATTATTATTATTATTATTATGCTTCATTACATTAATGGTAAAATACCAAACATTTTTTAGTTATATTAAATCTGTCGAAAGCATTAATGAAATGATTTAATGTTTTGAATAAAGTATTTAAATATAGCATTACTTTACACCCTGTCTATATACATATGGAAATGAATTCTAAATTCCATCAGATCAGAGGAGAATGAATTCTAAATTCTATCAGATCAACCGAGAATAATTTCTAAATTTTGTCAGATCAGAGTAGAATTCAGAGGAAATTCCTAGCACTTATGTTGATTCCCACAATTTACAAAATGAAGAAAGCCATTATATTCAATTGAATTTCACGATTTCTATTTCATTTACTATTTTTAATAATTACCATAAGACGAACGCGATCTGTGATAAATATGAAAGGAATATTTGTGAGCGAAAATACGGAAAGGATCAAAAATCAAAATATAAAAAATGTATTTTGTATTTCAGTATTCAATATTTAACTGAAAAAAAAAAAGGATTTGAAAAGAATCAAATAGAGAGATAGACGGAGAGAGAGAGAGAGAAAGAGAGAGAGAGAAAATTGAAGGAAAATAATGAAAGCGCTAATTTATGATGGTGACATAATTGCAAAGTGAAATTAACATCGTAAAATAGTAATTGGCAGTGATTTAACTTTGATAATTTCACTTTTCATTTTTCTCATTTCTTCGTGTCATTCGCATCACTGAGATGACAACAGCAATTGAAATAACAACGAAAAAGTGATGACAGTAGGAAAGAAATTACAAATAATTAATATTACTTTTCATCATTACCATTGATAACACGAATAGATGCTTATAGCGCAGTGAAATTTCAAAATGAAAATTTGCGACCTTTTGAAATGCCAGTTGACAAGACTAACAATTCTTTAAAAAATACCGGTAAATATATGTTATTCTACCTGTTTCTCTTTGTCTCTGTCTCTGTCTCTCTCTCTTTCATTCACTCTTTCATTGTTTGATAATTTTTTGTAAATTTTAATTTGTCTATGCAAATAAATACTGTAAAAAGATGAAATATAAACTTGAAAATGCAAGTGAAATGGAAAACATTCGGAGAGAAATAAAAGTGTTTGTACTGTTGTTGGTATTGAAGAAGAGATTAGTTTGATGAATTTAAATTGAAGTTGAAAGAATTGCTCAATCGTTCGTTCATCAATTAAATTAAATTATTTCCATGTGGAAAATATAAACTTTTTAGCATTTAATCGATCAAACAAATTTAACTTAAATATTTTGATATTTGGAATTTATTAGTTATTTTGCAGTAACTGGCATAATAAGATTGATAATGTTGATATCAAAGATAAACATTAAATTTTCAACCTACCAACAATTAATTTTTGGCAAATTCTCGACTAATTAGCAACTAACTTGCCAATTAACGACTAACTTCTAATAGATTCCCGACTAATTAACAATGAATTCTCAGTAAATTCTCTATTAATTAGTAGTTAATTTTCAGTAAATTCTCAGCTAATTAGCAATTAATTTCCGGTAAATTTTCGACCAATTAACAGTCAATTTCTAGTAACTTCCCGACTAATTAACAACTAATTTCCAATTTTGAATCTTTCAAGTACATGTTTTCTCACTTGTACTCATTTCTGATTACTGAATTACTTAAGTGAACATATCAAAATTGTAATATATACTTAAGGATGAGCAAATTTTGTGCAAATAAATCGTTCGATAGAAATTCTTGTAAACACTATTTTTTTTTTTTTTTTGAAAGTTTTAAATTCGTATTAATAATAATTAATCCCTAAGTATTAAAAAAAAAAAGTAAAAATTGATGCGATAAAAAAATTCTTGTAAACACTATTTTTGAAAGTTTTAAATTCGTATTAATAATTAATCCCCAAGTATTAAAAATTAACGAGATCAAAAAAAGAAAAAAAGCAGAACCGATATAATGATGCTAGTAAAAGTTTTTTTTTTAAATATTTCTTTTGATAATAAAATCCTTTTAAAGTTAATCTTTTTGATTGAACATGCAGGAATAGTAATAGTAATCTTCTCTCTAGGCTCTTTAAAGTTTTAGTAATAGGCTCTTTTTTACAAGTTATTTAGTTAGTTGGAAAAAAAAGGGAAAAAAAAAAAGATAATGAGTTGATGGATCTATCATATAAACTTATAGGCTCGTTTATTTATTATAAGTAAATAAAGGATTATCATTTATCCTTATTGGCTTAAGTCTAATGCTTATTGCTTATCTTCTTGTCCTTTAAAATTTTTTAAATATTAAATATGAAAGTAAAAATTTTAAATTTGGGAATGAAAAAATAATAGGTATTATATAATGTGTTCACCATATATGTATGAAATACGTGTACAGTACGTTCACGTACGTTACGTGTACAGTACGTTACGTACGCTGTAAATGTTTGACAATTTAGACGCATGCAGTGAGCGCAGTAAATTTTTGATAAAACTTATAAAATATTTTTTGAAAAGAGTTTTTTTTTCTCTGTCTCTCTCGCTTTCTCTCTCTCTCTTGTTTATAGGAAAAGATTTTTGTGTGTGATAACAATTTGAAATATATTTAATATCAAAATGTGCTCATTAATTTTTTGATTTCATTGTAATAAAGGTAAGTTATTTTCCCATTTACTTAGGTACATTTTACAAAAAATAAAAAAAATAAAAAAGCAAAACAAAATTGACAAAATTTTGACAATAAAAAAAGAAAGCAAAGAAATTTTTTATAATTAACACTGAACTATGTATGAAAACTTTAAAAATATTTTCTGGAACGTAAATAAATCTTAAATTTAATTGTAAATATATATTTAAAGCTGAAATTTATTTGTTTACCAATTTATTAAATTAAAAAATGTGCTAAAGTAACTTTTTCTTTTGAGAATTTTTTTTTTTTTTGCGTTACAATTTAATAAGAAATATAATACATTTTAAATAACGTTAAAATGATGAAAATAAGAAAAATCTATTACATTTCCTAATTAATTTCTATAATTAAATACCAGATTATATGAATAAACTCAAAGATATTTTTTCCTCATAAATTACTTTGATTTTTAAATCTCATTCACTTAACGAAAAAAACTTTTAAAGTAATTTAAATATAACATGTATAAAGTATTGAAAAGAAGTAAAAAAAAAATGAATAAGCAAATAAATAAAATTTAAAAAAATAAGTAAAATAAAATAAAAAAGAATTTAAATTATGTTTTCGCTTTATTTTTATGAAATTAATATTTTAAAAGAGTTGAAAAGACAGAAAAGTAAAAGAAGAGAAAAAAAATAAAAAGTACTTTTCCTATATTGAAGTGATGAATGTATATTAGTTAAGTGTGAGACACTTGAAATACAACAAAAATAATATCCAACCATTTTTCAACTTTTCCAATCATTTTATTTGCCCCACCAAAAAAAAAGGCAAAATAACAATTTAAATTTATTGAATGAAAGAATTTACAAAAAAAAATATTTGTGATATAATCAAATTATTTGTTAAAATTTTCAACAAAATGTAAGCAATTTCTCACATTAAAAAGAAATTACTAAATTTTTTGTTTTAATTGAATAAAATATATGAAGTTGCATGAATTTAAAATAAATATAAAATTTGCATAATTCTTTTTTTTTTATGAAATATATTCCATAATAGAGAGAAAGGATAAAAATAGATAATTTTTGAGAAATATGAAAAATACAGAATGATTAAAATTATTAAAGTCTTATTTTATTTATGATTTGAAGGAAAATTTTCTATTTCTTTTAAAAAAAAAAAAAAAAGAAAGAAAGAAAAAGAAATAGCAGAAAACGAAAATAGAAAACTGAAAAGATATAATTAAAATTAACTACATTAATAAAATGATAATACTCAACTTAACAATACTAATATTAGGTTTATTCAATCTTATAAAAATTTAATTAAATTAAAAATTTTTTATGAAAATAGGCTGTTAATTATATATTTACTCAATATAATTAACAGTCAAAAAAAAAAACTCCAAATAAGCTTTAATTAGAGATGCAAAATTATAAAAAAAAAACTTAATTAAACAATAAGTTTTGTAAATAGAAATTTTTTATTGAAAAAATTAAACTATTAATACTCAAATTTAATAAACTTTCGTCATTTATATCATCCAAGCAGCTGTTGAAATTTTTTTTTTAACAAAATATGAAATACTATCTATTATTATCTGACATCTATTTAAGTTTTCTTTTCAGATTTTTTTTTTTTAAGGTAAGCTTGATAGAATAAAACATAAAAGTGCTGAAGGTAAAGTATGAAATTATCTTACTGATTAATTAATTGACTTATTGCTTCGTTTATTTCGGTAATAAAAGATAAAGATATTTGTTTAAAAAGATAAAAATAAAATTAAAAAAAAGAACGAAAGATATGATATTCTGATGGTAAATATTTACTTTCTTCTTTTATTAAAAAATAAATCATTGATTGATTATTTGACTGAATGATTGATTGCTCGATTAATCGATTCACTTATTGATTTTATTTGTTTGGCTGATTGATTGCGGAATAAAATATGAAAAAATTAAAAATGATTATAAAACAATTATAAACTCACAAAAATACTTTTTGATGAATAAAAAAGATTGAAATGAATAAAAATAATCGTTTAAAAATTATTATCAATTAAAAAATTTTTACATTTCTAAAAATTATTCCATCATTTAATTCAAAAAATTCATTCATTTTGTTCATAATAATTTTTAAATATAAAGTTTTTCTCAAAATAATTAAATTTTTAACTCTCTACTTCATGTCAAATTTGAATAAATATTTAGTACATAAAGTACCTAGCACGTATACGTCAAATGTTTTTGATACGTACGTGTTAGAAAACATGAAAAATGAAAAAAGTATGCTTACTTATGTATATTCTTTAAAAAATAGGCTTACGTACGTGTGTAAAATTAAAAAAGGAAAAGTGAAATGGTGAAAAATCCACGTGTATATGTCTGTTATGATTAATTTGGTCACTGTATTACTATTAATAATTAAACGTTTCTTAACAAACAGATATTTTTGCATCCACGTACGCTCGTAATATTAACAGTAATCAACGTGAATAGATATTATAATTGATACATATATATGGTATCACGTTTCATTAAATATTAATTAATTTTCTTTTTTTTTCTAAACAAAAATCCTAAGACTTTTTTCTTATCATTTTCAAGTTTTTATTTTTTGTTATCTTTTTTCGATGCAATTCAAAATTATTACGTAAAATGGACGTTAAATTTAACGTATTACTGTATTGTTACTTTAATTGTATTAAAAAAAAATTTTTCAAAAAACTTATCAAAAAAAAGAAATGATAAAAAAAATATTATTTAAAAAAATGATTTCCATTTTGATTATTCTTTTTCCATTGATAATGATTTTAAAATCAATCATAAATAAAGATAACAATAATATTTATTTCATAACGTCAAATGCTGTTGATATTATCAAATGCTTCGTGAAAAAGTTTGAAGAATTAAAATCAAAAATTTTTTCGAATAATATTTGTAAGCGATTATTGATTGCAGCGAATGATCAATAATCACTCATTTTTAATGAATAAAAGAAATAAAAAAATTAATATAAAAAGAAAAAAAAACAAATTTGTTTATATGCAAATTAAAATAAACAAATTTTACACTTTCTATTTTCACGTTATATTGACGTCACGTGAAGAAGAGAAAATGTGATTTCGTTTTTTTTTTTTTTTTGTGCTTTTTGCATTATTTTTTTTTTATTTAAACTAAAATAAACGATAAAATAATGATGAAAA